TTTTCTATAGAATTGGCAGAGGTTAGTTACGTCTTTGAAGATAATTATTTCAGTCGACAAAACCACATCTATTTCTTTATTGGGCAATCTAAGAAAAGCTGCGCACATGTTATAAGCTAAATATATTTAGTTTTACAGTTATAACAGTTATGACAGTTACAGTTTTACAGTTATAACAGTTACAGTTAACCGTCCAAAAACTGTAACTGGTGCATGCCTAGTCACCAGGACTTAAACAGGGCATTGAGCACGATTAGAGGTATTAACCCATTATTTGGTTGACGACGGCGGCGTGACTAACATCATGGTGCCAAACTCTCTGAAGTGGTGAGTAACATCTTCGAACATTGAGTCTGCTTTAAAAATTAGATATCGTATAATTAAAAGATGTAAACAGGTTTTTCTATCTCATTCTCGTTTTTTTATTAGATACTAGAATTTTATACAGCACGTCAAAAAATCGAGTGTTTTTCTATAGAAATTTTTGATTTTATTAAGACTACAGATGATTTTAAAATCTGTCACTTTATGTGTCACAATTGGATTTTCCAGACAAAAAAAGAATTGTCAAGATGCATGAAAACGTATCGTAATCATTAAAAAGATATTTGATACCTCTTAACCGCTAATATTCCACATTATTTAATTTATAGATGAAAACAAAATAATGTATTTTGAACGTACAAAAGCAAACATAATATAACAAACAAACAATTATTTACATTAGATAACACGCATTTTTCATTATCATTAATATATTTTTATTTTGAAACAGGTACAGATATGAACAGTAAATGTTGATAATTATAATATATCCAATTAACGTATAAATAATTCTCGAACATATCCTTTTCTAACAAAATCACAAAAATCTAAAAATAAAATGTCTTCTTTGCGTTAAAAGTTCAAACTATCTTAAATATAGTTTTAGCATAAGTGAACAAAATTGTCTTACCTTTAAAACTAATATGGTTATTTGCATCTTCAAATGCTCGTCTAAAATTCTCTGTTAATTGAAGATTAATATATGAATATTTTTCATGATGAAATGATTGCAACAAAGTCAGTAATGATTCAAATTCTTCACGTTCTATCGTTCCATTATTATTTTGATCAAAAAGTTCATCAAATGTATTTCGTAATGTATACGTATCAATAGCGGCATCATTTGCAAAGACAACAGCGATTAAATCGATAAATTTTTCAAATTTCATTTGAAGAAGTTCTAAATATAATGTAAGTATTATTGGATTTTTCTACAAATTTAGTTTTTCTGCCTACTTTTTGATCGATTATTTTTCTTTGCTTCTTCAAATTGTTTTTCTGTCATACACATTTTAAAACTTTGTCTTGGTTCTTTTTGAAACCAACAAAATTCAACTAAAAAAAAGAGGTACACAGTAAGGTATAGAGATTTTCCCTCTAAAATAGAATCAATTCTTTAACTAAGAATTCTCATTTAACATGAAATAAAAGGACACTTTGGAATGGGCAAACACAACACAGTCCATCTTATATTTTTTCTCTTAAATTTAAAATCAATTATCTTACCTTCGACAACACGTTTGGATATTGTTTTAATATATTTTGAATATTTGTTTATCAATTCAGCATTAACCGGTAATACATTATATGAATCAATAACTTCTGCACTCATATTGCGTCTATTTTTCTGAACAAAAAATTATTCCATTCTGCTTTTGGAAAACCTGTCTATATATAGTTATATATATACACAATAAAAGAAACCATATAATAGTTCTTGTTTTTGATGCTGCAGCAGACGACGTATGTCTCAGAAATGGGAAAAAAACGTGTTTTCTTTCTTTGTTATGTTTGTTCTTTTTTCAAATCGATAATATTATGTTTTCTGTATAGCTGAATTTTTTTGTTTTCACATCTGTGTATATACACTTAAATTTCTCTCACAAGTAGAAAATTTCACATACTTGGTATCATAATTTTATATAATAATGTACATCTTTGTTATATCAAACAATTTTATATTATTAACATTGTATAAAGTTTTTCATTTGGATTTAAATTACAATCTCGAACACTTTTGATTAAAAATTGATCGCTTCACGATTGTTTGAAACAAAAAACAAGAAATTAAAATGTGCCCGAATATTTGTTCAATTTTGATTTTTGATGCTATAGAAATTGTTTAAGAGTTAAATGTCGGTCTATAAGGTTTTACAATACATTTACCATAAATTGTTTCTCGAATAATCTGATCTTTTCTTTTTAATTTGAAAAAACAGAATGATTCTATACAGTATTTGTGATGGTTGCTCTGATTATTCAACGTTTGTCTGCTTTTATCAATATGTGTCCTATAGCATCCATTACAAAATCGAATAAAGTTTTCAATTTTTTGGTTGAAAGTATAATTTTGATCCAAATAAAAAACTTTATAATGTGTATATTTGCTTGCCTCAGGACGTTTATTTATTAACAATCATTGTTTTACATCGTCAAAATATGAGTTTACTCTTTCTTGCATTTTGATAAGACGTGTCTTCTTCTATGACAATGTGAATTTGATAAGACGTGTCTTCTTCTATGACAATGTGAATTTGAGCACAACAATGTTAGAGAATGATTCTTGCTCTACAAAAGAGAAGAGCCGCACTTTTTCTATACGAGTGCGCATTAGTACCGGTAAAAGTTTTTTTTGTAGGCGACTGAAAATATGATGTCCTAGTTCTCTGTTTTATTATTCAAGCGTTTGCGATTTATAAAAAATCATGTGCATATGATAAAAAAGATTAAGTTTTATGATCTATGAAGTTATCTCTTCATCATGCATTATTTTATTGAAATTACATATGAATTGAGCAATTCATTCAGATAAGAAAAGCAACAGAAAACAGAAGAAAATAAATTACACATCAGGAGAAATTTATATAGACTACCTACTCATTTCTGTTGCTTTTTTACTTTAAACTATTTTCGCTCTCTGTATTATATTTAAAAGAGAAGTATGCGAAATATGCAAGAGAATATATCATCTCGCATTTTCACTATTGAATATTTCCACTATTGTCAAGTAATTCAGACGGCTTCCAATATTCTCAATCGACCTTTTGAAAACAACATTATTCATAGTGTATGTAAAAAACAGTGATTATGTGTGTGTTGATTTTCAGTTGAAGTGTGAGTGCATGAATGTTACAGATTAATATAAGTTATTCAAGTATTTTTGATGATATTCGAATCCGTAAAACAATTAAACTGAAGGTAAAAAAAAGAAAACATAAGATACCAGCAAGGAAAAATGAGTAAATTACATTTCTTCACTTTATAGTTTTAGTAAATAAAGAATACAGTGTACGTCTGTAGCCTAAATCCTTTCTGCAATACTTTTGAAAAAAAGTATAACAATTGAGACAGTAAAATCTATAACATAGCATTACAGTTAGAACTGTTCATGCAGTATTAACTATATACCATCAGCAGTTAATGGAGCAACAGTATATATCAAAGGTAGTTTTTACATTAAAAACTATAAAATTGTCTGTTTTGGGTCTAAGTTGATGGCCTGCAATAATAAAGTTTATTATGTTATTTTATGTATATTGTGTGTTCTCTAATTACTTACTCATACATCCTATAGGACTCAACAGATTTGTTTCACAAATAGTGAATGAAAATACAAAAATATAATGTTCGAGATTGTTCTTCTCATCATAATTTTTTGTAATTTCATGAAAAGTTCGAGTTTTGATCAGCATAATTGGCATATTTCTCCAGCAGACTGCACTCATCGTCAAAGTTTTTTAAATTCGTTTTTGTCCATAAAACAGTAAACAAAACAACGTATAGGTGGCAATGGTAGGTGGCATGGAAAGGCAATACCACAGGTAACGCACTAACAAGGAACCCGTTCGGGTTCATGGCTTTTGAAGACCCGGTTGTTTGAAAACCAGTTTTTCAGAAACTCCAAAAAATAACGAAAACATTTCTTAATAAGATATGGTTGTAGCCAGCAAATTTCTGATTAAAATGAGATGTCTCAGAGCTCTACACGACCTTTCTTTGCAAAGTTATAGAATTTACAAGAAAAGCCCTAAATGTTCATTGTCAGCTCAAAGTTACAGAAATACGACGAAATCAATTTTAGGACTTTTCTTGCAAATTCTATAACTTTGCAAAGAAAGATCGTGTAGAGCTGTGAGACGTCTCATTTTAATCAGAAATTTGCGGGCTACAGTCATGCCTCACTAAGAAGAATTTTGGTTATTTTTTAGAGTTTCTGAAAAACTGGTTTTTCAAAAAACCGGGTCTTCAAAAGCCATGAATTCGAATTCTTTCAGGGTTTTTACTAGCTCTATATACTCTATCGATTGAGGTATAACTCATTAGGAACGGAGGGTATCATCTAGGGCGGTTTCCTCGTAAGCTATTTTTGATCTTCAGGTCGCATTATCTCCAACGATGTTGAAAACATTCTGTTATAAAGCTATGCCCGCTTTTTTATTGTAAATCAACTTCTTAAAGAATAATAGAACAGTTATTTACTAATTACAACTTTCCGGAATCTAATATTACTTTCATGCGCTTAGCTATTCTGTACCAATCATAAATATAATCGTAAACATATCCTCGTTTAATGCAGAGCGATCTTAATAGGGACCGAATATAATAATAGTCAGGTTTTTCACTAAATTCTAATGCTTTTACATAATCATTAAACAGACGATATTCTTTTGGTAAGTCTAAAAGAAGAAAACTTGCCAAACACTTTTATAACGACGAGAAATAACTGTACCATTACCACGGCATAAATCAGCTCCCGTAATTTCCATTTTTTTGGCTGATATAATTTCATACTTTTGTTTTTTCGTGTTTATATTTTTTATACCCATCCATGGCAATTCTCCTCTGGCAAGATATATCAAAATATACAATATACTTTCTAAATCGTCTCGTCTTCCTTGTTCAAAACCTTGATGAGTATTTAAACTAGCATATCGAGCTGTACCTGTTAAACTTTTCCCTTCCACAAACGGAACATGTTGATACGACAATGAATCTCGATATTGTTTACATAAACCAAAATCGATCAAATGTAGCGTATTCGCTTTAGCATTACAACCCATCAAGAAATTGTCCTGTAAAAAGAGTATTTCCAATTTTTCTTTTCTACATGCCCATTCGCTCGTCTCACTTACAGGTTTCAAATCTCGATGGATTAGACTTCGATCATGCATCGATTGTACACGACTTACAGCTTGATCAATTAACATTAATACAGTCTTCTCACTAAAGCGCCGTTGACAAAAATTAAGTAAATCTTCTATAGATGGACCTAATAATTCCATCACTAAGACAACAAAGCCTTTTTCTTCGCATACGGCATACAACGCTGGATAACCTTTCGTATTTTCCATACGAAGGAATACTTGTTGTTCTATTCGTAATTGTGGATGTTTTGTGTCGCTCCGTTCTGTTTTTACAGCACAAGTGATATTTGTTTGTTTATCCAAAGCTAAAAATACTTCGCCAAAGGATCCTCCACCGATTCTTCGTGCTATTTCAAATCTATCAACAATTATTGATAATTTTTCAAGACGTTTAGCTCGTTCAGTTTTTTCCAGTTCTCGCTGTTCGTTACTCATTTTTTTACTAATAAATTTTGTTTACACATTTTCGACAGTAGTGAAGCGTCATACAACGCTGTTACATCTGAAAGATCAGTATATTAACTAAAGTTAATTTATTATTATTTCAAAGCTTACTCTAATGCGTATACTGCTTATTGCTATGACGACTACAGCCAATAATATATTTGACTAGTATAGCACAAAAACAATAAAAATAAATAAAATATCTAAAGCGAAAAACTTCTATTAAAAGTACAAAAAGCACCTGAAAAAGAGAAAAAGTTGGAAGAGACACAGATACCTAAAATGGACCAGAATGACCAGTCCGCCTCAGGAGAAACGTATTTTAAAAAGAGCCAGGTCGAGCACATCAAACACTCAGCAACATCAAAAAATGCATGCTATTCATAAAAAGGACTTTAAAATTGCACCAGGTGTGGTGACAGGAATTAATAATATCTCTCGTGTACAACTAGGCAAAGTACTTAAAGCTAAAATGCCATTAGCCCAGAATTGAAAATATCATTTTTAATCAAAAACGAATCCTTTTTACAATAAAAGCATCAGATGTAACCGCGTTTAACAGTTTGTTAACTAGTTTTCGGAAGGATTCATTTGCAGAAAAACCGCAATAACAGTTTATGTTCCAAATCAAAGACAAATAATTGAAACAGAAAAAATGTGTTTTTGTTGTTGTATTGACCATGATATTGAAGACGAAGACATTACAGAAACACTTAATCAACAAGGATTTAAATTTAAAGCATTTGAACTCTTGTCAGGCGAATGTCAGGCGAACTTACCAAAAACTATAAAAAGAAATTTAGCAGATACATTAAACCGAGACACATATGTGAAAACAGGATTATGGATAGTCTATTATCTTTTAAGAGGTGAAACAGCGAAACCAAGTGATGTTCTACTACAATGTTGAAAGTGTTTCAAATTTGGACATTCAACATAATATTGTAAACAAATTATTGAAACAAGTAGAAGATGCGGAGAAAGCCATTTGTCCAATACATGTCGAGCAACAGGAATAAAATATATAACTTGTTCAGGAGTACATGAATCAAATTTTCCAAACTGTCCAGTTCACAAAGAATAGCAAAAAAAATTAAAACAATTGATGATTACACAACACTACTATACTATATTGTGGAAAGTTATACACCCGTTCTTGCGCTGTTTTCGAACTTTTGCCGTGAAATCATTTGAAAAAGAAAAAATTCAAAATCCTGCTGCTTTCCGTCGCTCCTCTAATTTTATTTCATAATTTAAAACCAGTCCGAGTTCTCCAGCTGTTTTCTGAGAGGAGATTTTCATTTAAGGACCGAGAAATGTTCAAAACTTAACATAGACCAAAATACCTAGTTTTAAACATTTTAAAACAAAATGAATATGATATTCGTGATCAGCAATGTCGATAATCTATAGACCATGACAATTTGGGTTAAAACAGGAGAAAAAGATTGTCTGTCCTGTATTTCCCGGTCCTATAACCGATGTTGGAACAAACAAAAACTGCATTGATTTACAAAAATGTGCAAATATGCAATTTCTCAGTCTATATTAATCTTGTGTATATAAACTTGTTTAGAGATGGTTGCCACCTCAAATAATTTCACTCTTTTCTCCCCTTTTTGTTGCATTATCGCTAGAATATAGTGCTGTATACGGAAACAAAAGAGGCAAAAAGGCAAATATTTTGATTTACCGCCTGTTTCAATAATACGTGTGATAGTTAGTTCTGGATGACTTTTATAACCATCCGGCGATTGATCAGGATTACGATTATCGAATACAATCGATACACTCGAGTAATACTAGCCGTACCTTGCTTGTAGATTAAATCTGTTAAACCCGATGCACGTACATGATGTAATGATGTTATGCCCATAACGAAACATATCGAATCGAGAATATTAGATTTGCCACTACCATTCAAACCGATCACAGCATTAAAATATTTATCAAATGGGCCACCTGTTGTTCGAGATGCATACGATTTGAAACCTTCTAATACAATTTCTTTGATATGCATGGCCTTTGGATAATCTAAACGAAAACGAGAAAAATAACAAATTTTTGGCTTCGAACCGCAGATATTATACAGATATGTATGCCTTCTTTAATCCAATGGCTTTATCTGAGTTGTTTTGAAAAGAGAGGACGACGGTTCCAAGAGCTGGTCTGAGACATTCAGGATTGAGCGGGGTCGACATACTTTGAACGATATTTCTAAAAATAAAACTACTTTTCCAGAAAAATAGTTCGTTTTGGGGCTGAAAATTTTCCGACTGAAAATATTTTGCTGTGCGTGCTTTTTTTCGCAAAAATTTCTTTTTCATTTTGCAGGTGAAAAAAAATATTTGCAATTATTGAGAAGTTACTCGCTGGACCGCTCCCCCCTCCCAGCACCGCTCGGACTAGAGTACGGTCACTTAAGTCTCTGATTATAAGGATTAGCCGTCATGAATTCTGACAGTTTTTCAGAAAAATAAACTGAACAACATAATTACCACAAAATTTTCTGTACAATAATAGAACAGAGCTGTATCGAGTAAGGAATATCTCTACCGTTTCACTTGGTTGTAAATGTTAGCAAATGTCTGTAGAGGTTGTTATATATATATATATTGTTATAATATATATATTTCTTTGTTGTTCATCGTCAAAGAAATTAGGGGTCTAGCATTCGAATACAGATAGATTCAATCACATGTTCAATCTTTACATCTAACAATTTCTTTGACGAGGAAGAACAAAGAAATATAATGACCAGATACAAAGAAATACACGAAATTTTTTGGCAGGAATTCTGTAGGATTCTTGATATAGGACGGTAGCAAAAGGAATCTTATATATTTCTTACAAAATTCTACGGTAAGATTTTGTAGGATTCTTATTTTTTCGTTCTGTATACATTTTTTTTCTTTTTCTATGCGAGATCACAATTACCGACGTGTTTTGCAGTAACTCTAATAAATACAACTCTACTGTAGGAAATAAAAAATTCTTTTAGGTTCAAATTTTCGTACCGAACACTGTGAGCGATCGAAACTCGGTACTGTTCGACGACGTGTGAGTCAGTACTCACAAGTGTTGGGCTTATCTCACCTCAGGATCACACAGTTGTGGCTAGCTGGGATCAGAGAATAATTAAAGAAATAAAAACAATAAACCTAGTAGGATAAACCAACAGAAAATTAGAAAACAATCCTACGGTAGGATTATTTGACCTGGGGAGGAGGGAGGGGTTACGCGAGCCTACACAGAAGTCTTTTTGTCTACCTTACCAATCTTGTAGACTCTACTGTAAACACTTAAAATTTCGAAGTCGTGATTAAAAGACATTTACAGCTTTACAAACGACCACTATCCTGTTGTACGAAAGCAGAAAGAAGTTGATAGAAATATGTCAAGTGATGTCTATAGTATATTGTACTTGCCTAGATCTGATGGAATATTGTCCATTTCACATACAAGAACAAAGAAGAGCCCTACTTTTTATTTGAAAACCTGTGAGAAAATATTTTTGTGAATTAATCTGATTTTATGTTAACATACAGAGTGATGCATAACCTTTTGCTAGGGGGGTACAGCTCCAACGACAAATGATATAAAAATGAATTACATATCAAATAAAAGCTCATCGAAAACGGGATTAACAGGTATAACTGGAAATCCATAGGTTGATTATGAGCTATAGAATTATGGAAGTTTCTATCCGGTGCGTCAGTTCTGAGTATGATGCTGCTTTCAGTAAAAGTCCTATAACTTCATCAGAACAAAAGCTTTTTCCGTCGGGTTTGTTTTGCTTCGACCAGAAATGATTGCTCTTCACCATCTAACTACAAAATCAAAACGTCGATCGCATTTTTCGTTTTTTGCTTGGGCACGTTGTTGAAAACCGGGAGAAATGTTTGAAACATCGTTCTCCAGCACACCATCTGCTGTAAAATCCTTTTTTAGAGGCCACGAGAAAGGGCATATTCAAATGTACAATAAGAACCGAGTGCTCACTTTTGCTACACTTTTTACGGAAATAATAGCAGAAGAAAAAAGTTCTAGTCAAAAAACATATAAAATTTAGGAAGTTTTCAGTTTTTCCGCCTTTCATATAATTTACATAGTTCTCTTGATTGAAGGTCTAAAACTAAAGTTTGAGTATGGTTTTGTAGAGTATTTCGTGGCGCATCTTTTGAAAGAAACACTAAGCTTAGGATCATAAAGGAACACGAGAAAAATTGAAAATATCATTCGTTATGACGCTCCAGATAGAAACTTCCATAATTCTATAGTTTATAATCAACCTATGGATTACCAGTTATACCTGTTAATCCCGTTTTCGATGACCTTTTATTTGGTATGTAATTTATTTTTATATCATTTGTCGTTGGAGCTGTACGTCCCTAGCAAAAGGTTATGCATCACCCTGTAGTCACCATTATCATAACACAACATTTGAAGATCTTTCCAATGATCTTTTATATAAAATATTTAATTATTTCAACATCAATGGAATATTTAATTTATTTTATAATCAGTTTATATATAAATCAAGTCATAAACAAATATCATTTACCATTACATGTTCGTCTAATGAATGAGGAAGATGAAAAATATTTTTATAAGTATATTCAACAATATACATATTTAGCTAATGCACGATCTATTGAATTAGTTTGCTCATTAAAATTATTAAATTTTAATTTATTTATAAATTAAAAATCGCTGATATTTGATGTCAAGAATAGTAAGAGTGTTGAACAGTTGTTGGTATTATCAAATGACCATCAACAATTACCATCATCAATTGTTTTATCCAAACGAGGATCAGATGAAACGATTTTCTGATATATTAGAGACAGTATTCAGCAAAGGTAAAAAATTAAAAACGTTTATATCTCATTTATATGCTATATTTTGTAATGGAACTATATGGTATTATAACTATCGTCCTTCAGAACTAACTATTTCTACGAAATCGATTGATTTATTACAGCATTTCGATTTAATTGTATCATTCAACAACATTCAAGCACTTTTAATAAAAACAAACGCATATTTACATTGATTCATAACTGTTGTTGAATGAGTGAGGGATAGGGAGTTCATATAAATCTATATTGATAAAATCTTTAAGATTAGCAGAAAGAGTTCAAGAATTAGCATCGAGTCTTTTTCAATTTCTGAAATATCAAAAATTCAGAATTAGCAGAGAAGAATTCAGAAATAAACATCAAGCTTTTCTTAATTCAACAATTCAGAAATTGAAAATGTGGCTTTTTATCAATATCTTGAATTCGAAAAAGTCAAAAATTTTGGGAATTTGTATCGAGTTGGTTTGAATACTTCTTGGAATTCCAGTATTCAGGAATTGAAAGAACGCATGAGTTTTTACTCAGAGAAAACCAGAAATCCACTAATTAGGTGGATTAGGGTGGACTTCTTCAAGTTTCGCCAGTTCCACAACAAACCTAGTCATTTCTCATCTTAATTTTAGGATTTCTACCAATCATTAATCAACCGACACGGAAAGAGAAGGTGTGTAGGACTGCCCAATTCTCGCGGAATTTTAATAATTACAGTTCTGCTTAGATGAACCAGTTTCGGAATTCTTGTAAAAGATCTCAAAAGTCCCTGCATTACAAACTTCAACGAAGTGAAAGTCAAATAAATTTTTTCCTGGGTATTTATTTAGATTTTGTTTTTCTGACGGAATTATGAATCGGAATTCCCATTTTTACAGCGGAATTCCAGCAGTAAAAAATGATGCGTGATGTTGCATCAACTATGGATAAAACAACAAGTTTTCAGTGAAAGAAATCTTAATTAAAAATTTCCACCCCCTATGAGGTTAACTACTAATAAAATACTATAAATACTTAATACTAGAAAACTCATATTTGAATGAAAAACAAGAAGAAGAAGAAGAAGGATACCCCGCCTTGCGGCTACCTTGCGGTGTAGGGTGCTGGCAGAAGACAGTTTCATTAGCCAGATACTTTTCACACATTTCTCACACGTTTCTTTACTAATCACCACGTTGCAGCTCTGGACAGAAGGCTGGCCTGACTCAGAGTTCTTCTCCCCCGATTGCTTGAGCTCCCCATACTCTCTCAACTAGGCTGACACACATTAACACTCTCTTGTGTGCCACAATATAGTGAGGTCGCTATCGGACGGGTAATCCGAGGCGATAGACCGTGAGTAACTTCCCCAAAGAAATTACATATTTGGGTGACGCTGAGATTCGAACAAAGTGCCTTGTGGGTATCAGTCCAACAACTTAACCACCGAACTACGCCGGTCGAAAAACAAATACTGAGTTCTCCACTGTCAAAAACTAATACGTATTCAACAAGTTCTTCCTTTGATAAGATAGAACACGCTTTTACTCTGAACCAAGATTATACGCCTACGTTTTGAAAGTCAGACGATTTCGATCTTTTGACTTTTATTCCTCATTACCACTAAACTGAAATGCCCGGATAGCTCAGTCGGTAGAGCGTGTGGCTTTTAACCACAAGGCCCGGGGTTCGAGCCCCCGTTCGGGCGTTCCTGTTTTTGCTTTCATATTTCTTTTCTTTCTTTTACCAGAGAAAATGCTTAACGAGACATATTTTCAAAATATCTTTCGTTCCTTTGTTCTTCACTCAAAGTAAACAATCAGACTTT